AGTTTTGCACCTACGTTGTTGGACTAGTTTCTTCTTGCACTATTTTATTTCTTCTTGTACTATTTGTATGCTGCATTGTTGGAGGAGCCTGGGAGTTAAGATTGTCATTGCCAACAACTACGCTGTAGCTGTGCATATGACAATAACACCTTTGAACATTGAATGTTCGAAAACAGGAACATGGAATACACACACATACATTATCAATGTGAAAAACATGCAAACAAAGGCAACCCTAACCTAAACTGTAAAAGATTGATTGAGTATGATGTCACCCACAGGTATCTGCTTGGCATCAGGGCAGAGGAGCCAGAGAAGCTGAGGGTTGTCCACAGAGCCACTGCTCAGCGCAATTTATTTGAAGAAGATACAATTTTTTCTGACTATGTGACTGTGACTCTGATTGTGGTGGAGGAGGTCCCAGAACACTTGTCCCCTCTTAATTCTTACATTCAGGGCGTCCTAGCAGTGCCAGTGGTCCACCATGCAGCATTACGAGTATCATACAGTAATTAAATGTTTACAGCAATCAATGATCGCAAAAGTCAATGGTATCCCCCACACTGGGTTATCATTGGAAAATGGAAGTTTGATAAGTGAACAAAATGTATTTATTTAATTTTTGGCCAGCAATATAATTAGGACTCATATGTGAGATTGTGCGAGAGCTGTCACTGGCTTTACTTCTAGACTTTGCTATCCAAATGTGTAGGTGGGAAAGATGTGCTGGGTGAGGTCACTTGAGAAGACGTGTGTGGGGGCCGCAGTGTCTTCAGCGCGCTCTTTGTGCACCACAGAACGCTTTGGAGACACAGTCTGGTACTTGCATCTGTTCTGCTATTGTTTACTGCTATTTCATGTTATCTTGGATTGTTGTCATCAGCTGTGGTGCGCTCCACAACTGACCATGAGTGTCAGTACTATACTGTTTCAACCGTCTCCTCTGCGCTCCGATGGGGAATGTGATGGCGAGACAGTGCTGATGAAATACAAAGTGGATTTGATTTGAGATTTGAGTTGGCTTACTTCTTTTACAATTGAAAGATGCTTATGGAATTAGTTATGGCTCACAAGCATATGCACAAATAACACTGATGGTTTGAATGTAGGATCTTTAAGAAACGTGTGATAGTAACTGAAATTAAATATGAGAGAGGCTTTATTATATGTATAATGATACTTATAACATGTATTTCTACAATCTGGCTTCAATTCACCACCTCACCATCTGCATAGACAGTTTCCCCTGTCACCATAATCTTCTGTAAACATTTTTCAAAATATAGATTACAACTTTTGCATGGGAAGTGGCATACATCTCTTTCAAGCCCTGTTTTGTGCATACATAACAGTTATAAATGAGACCCCAGCTTTTTAAAATGACTCTTTGTTGCTTTGAAATAAACAGGACAAATCAACACCACACATTGTATAACAGATAGTCAATATATGCATGAGTGACTCGTGCAGATGGTTATTAAATAAATGCAATCTCACCTGCAACCATCAGCTTGTAGATGGCCTCCACATTGTCGAGGCATGTCTTGGCTGATGTGCTAAGCTGGGCATGCATGGGCATCAAAACCTTTGTTTTAGATGTCCGTGGCACCAAATTGGTAGGGGGATACGCCAGCAGCAGCAGGGGCTTCAAGCCAAGGGCATGTCACTTTTCCAGCTGGGAAAATAATTGTTGAGAGGTAGAGAGATTAATTAGATAAATACACAAAACTGTTGTTTACATTTGAATTTATCTGCAAGCTTGCCCTGAAGTAGCATCAAAATAAATCATCTACACTAATATCCTGGCATCATAATAAAAACAATGATTTGTTCATAATGTTTTGTTGGATACATTTGGGATTTTTAACTTATGAGACACTTCCTAAACTTCCTACACATAATAGTTCATTCTGTTTGAAAATCATTAATCATGAATTATATTCTCATTAATGATACAATTAATAATGTGGATGTGAAGCAATACCAGTTAATTTATAATCCTCTGTCAAAGTAATAAAACTACTTTTCACACTTTTGGTGAATGAGATAATTCTGTAAACTACATACCAGAAGGGCGGCGTCATCAATAACGTGGGACTTGATTCTGTTTTTAGTCCTGGATGACAACCACTGCTTCTGCTGGCTTTGGAATTTGTCCATTTTCTTTTTGAGTCTCACATTTTTTGGCTGTGGATGTTCACATAGTGGACAGATTTTATTTCCACAGTACATTTGTTCACTACAGTTTGGGCAGGTCTTTTTTTGTGACCCTCCAGCCATTTGTAGGAGTGAGAGAAAGACAGGAGAGTGATTAACAGAGAAAGTGAGAGAGTGATTAAAAGAGAAAGTGAGAGAGTGATAGAAAGAGAGACAGTGAGAGAAAGAGTGGCTCTTAAAAGTGCCGTTGGTTTTATATGTGTGTGTGTGTGTGTGTGTGGATATGTGTGTGTTGGTGATATTAAGTGTTGTAATGAAGCTGTAAAACAGAAAAAAAGAAAAACATGATTAGGATTATTTCGAATAACAGTAACATCTGTGTAATACTCTATGCAATAATAATTAATCTGTGCATTAGTCTATATGCAATAATAATTCATCTGAGCAATACTCTGGCATACATTATGCATTTATACTGTGCATATTGTTATATTATGCACTTGTTTTTCTTATATCTTCTACTATATATTTAAATTCTACAATGTAACAATCCCAATTTCCCCCGGAGATCAATGAAGTATTTCTGATTCAGAGTGGGACATTGGGTGGCCAGTCAAATCCTCTGGAAAAACTCCAGTTCCACATTTTTGTTCCACTCCATAGCCGATGCATTAGCCACTATTAAAACTGTGTTGAACACTGTCTTTACAACACATGTGCAAATACATAAATGTAAACATATTTTTCTAGCACGCACCTCCACTATCCAACTGTGCCGGTGACAGCTAATGTAATGTAGCTGTATAAACTATAAATGCTATCCAGCTCAAAACGTTGACCGGAAGGCCGGAGGCTAGCTGAACGTGGCCGCTAGTTGGCCTATTGTAAAAGCTAAACACACTACAAAACTCAAACTAATATTCAGGAATGAAACGCTATAGAGACTGTGCTACAGTGGAATAAATAAAAGCAATATTATTTCGTGTTTTAAAGAAATAAACTCCCCTTGATTTTAGATACTTACTGTTGTCCGTTGTCAGATTAAATCGGATGAAATTAATGAAAGTGAGGTGATTGTGGGTAATGTGGCTACGTCACGTTAACGTAAAGCGCGACGTAACGTTGCCGGGGTAACTACGGAATCTTCTTCTGGTTTATTGTTGTTATAATAAAAATGATTATTATTACTATTAAACAAAAAGCATTTCAAATACAGTCAGTAGCCAGTGGGGGGAGTGGTTTTCACCATCATTATCATCATTGTATATGTTTTAAATGACTAATATTGGCCTACAATACCCCTTTATTGATCAAATAGGAATATAATTGTCTTTTAAATAACGTAAACTAAAGGGAACAATCTATTTGACACAGCTGAAGCTCTGGCCTTCCTTAAAAACTAAGTAATTTAATAAAAATCACAGTTGTATTACACACAATGCACTGTTTTTTGAGAACAGAAATTGATAAATAATGCACCATAATACATTCTGACGAAAAATAAAAATTATTATGAATACAAATCAAATAAAAGAAGCCTCCCGTGAGTGACAAGCTATAAAGTAGATTTTAACGTTTTATAGAATAAAAGCTCACTGCGGGACGTTGTAGAAATGCGTGTGTGCACCACGACAAAAGAGCCTCATTCACTTTACATTGGGGTTTTTTGCGTGGTGCCGACACGCAAATGTAGCAGAATGCGTGACTCCACCACGCAATGCGGTGTTAAGGTTGCGTGGTGGAGTCACGCATTCTGGTGAGATCAGGTTGTCCCGGTGGGACTGCACGGGTGGGTTGCCACGTCAATTCTAAAGAACTCTACCTAAGACCCATGTATTTAACTAGTTCTGAGAACATCATCAAACTGCTGCATAACAAGATAAAATCATAACACCTCTATCAGCTGACGTCAACAGGCAGGAACATATAATCATAACACTGAGAGCACAGCAGCCAAGGTTACGAGGTGCGTGGGCTCAGTCAGGACAGTTTGAACTGATAAACTGGGTCAAAGTTATGGGCCTTGGAAAATATTTCCACAACAATAACTGCAGTGATGTATATGCAGGGCCGTCCCTCCCTACAGGCCGATCATGCAGGCTGCATAGGGGCCTCACATTGCGCAAGGGGTCTCGTGCAGGGGGCCTCGGCTTATGAGCTCGGCTTGTGCGCAATTCTCAGCGCAGTTCTCCGCACTTTGTTTGTTCTTTCTGATGTAAAGTCAAGGTTGTAACTGTTTGCAATAAAGTTGTGGGGCGCTGAACTGTTCTTTTGATTATTTTGAATTTTTATATATGATGATAGTAATTACTTGTCTTTCAAATTTGAAGGAGGGTGAGCAAGCATCTTGAGGAACATTCATCATTAACTCCTCCAAAAAATATAGTTTATTTAATAATAACACTGAATATGTGAATCATAACAGTGATTGACAGCTGATAGGAATAATATGATTGTTAATAGTATCATATTCATACAGACAAACATAGATGAGACAGTTAATTAATGTACTTATTGCAGCAGTCTGCATTGATTGGTACCCCTGCTGGTCTAAGAGTGAGACAAACTCATTCAGTTATTGTTCAGTTAAAATGTATTCAATTATGTCTGCCATCTTATATATTTATATTTAAGGCTTTACTAATGTGCCACAATAATGTATCCTGATGTTATTGAGTTCAAATATTAATATTGTGGCTTTCCAAGTAAACATTGATTGATATGACTGCGATTAAATATATATGGATATATATACTTCTGCCAGGGAAGCCACCCCTCAAATTATCCTGCCACCCTCTTGCAACTCCATGAATATTTTTCTAGATCCGCCCCTGCAGCAGAGAGACTCAGTCCTGTGGACCGCGACATGTCCCAAACTCGAGGGAGTTCTCTGTTTCACTGATTCATTATCAGTCCGATTAATTTGAGGAGTGGAATCATACGTGTATAGGGAGCAAAAAGGAGAATACTAAAGAATGTGAGCGGATGTGCATCTGGACACTTTCACCGCGTCTCCAGCTGAGACTGTCCGACAGGTAAAACAGTGTGATGGGGGGATCGGGAGGAAGGGGTTCTCGGAGGGGAAAGTTAGACTAGCCTATTTAAAAAAGCAGAAATATGCTCAATCGGAGATATTTGTTATGGGTTTGTTAGTGTAGCGACTTTATTTTGTATTTGATCAAACATTTGGATGTTTGTACATGGACCGGGGTCTTGGGGTCCTCCCCCAACTTAATAACGGGACTTCTTTTTATGCATGCGTGGATTTATTTATGTATAGGCAGAGGTGCGAGAAGTAGGCTACTTAGATCTTGTACTTGAGTTAAAGTAGAAGTACCTGAGTGTAGGAATACTCTGGTACAAGTAAAATCCTGCAATCAAAATGTTACTCAAGTAAAAGTACAAAGGTGTTAGCATCAAAATATAGTTAGGCTAATTACCAAAAGTAAAAGTAGTCATTGCGCAGATTAGTCCATTTCAGAATAATATATATGATGTGTTTTATAATGGTTGATCATTAAAGTGTTATCAAAGCTGGTAAAGGTGCAGCTAGTTTAAATGGCTTTGTACTGAAGGGGAGCTTGTGAATTTACTCCAGGTGGAACTAAAGTCTGATTTAAAGCAAGATATGTATTCATGTCCAAAACTTTATCCACATTCAAAACATATGTGTTCTCTCAGAAATTGTAATATTTTGGGGGAAAAGTAATACAACAAGAACAAAGTTGTGATTTAATGAATATACAGTCAGCTGTGCGAAGCCTCTGCTGATGTACGGCAGCACCACGTGGACTAACCAAACTGCAGTAGCCTACACCTAACTACTATAAAAATTATGAAGACGTTTTTTTGTTACTATATTTACATTTGCTTTTTTTACCTGTTTAGGCATAGCACATTTGTTTCAATTTAGCCTATATTTATTACCAATATATTCGGGAGGACATATTTAAATATTGGTGGGGATAATTTGGCGTTGCTTTCAAAATACCTTCAGGCACAGTCTCATCAAATTATTATTAGCTGTAGTAAGTACTAATAACAATCAGAAAAGCGTGAAATGAGATAATTGCACTTTAATAAAAACTATTGGTTTGATTTATTTACTTGCTCCTCTCCCTCCCACTTTGCCTCGTGACGGATCTACATCCTGATTATGTGAATGTCAATGTTTATTCAGGTAAACTCCCATTTAAACAAACAGATAACTGTTCCACGTAGATGGCAGCTCAATCAGCTCTTACTTAGTTATAGATGGCCTATAATTTACTATAATTTTACTAATGGATTATATCACAGAGGTTGGATTTGTACTCAGATTGTGTGCTAAAGTAACAGTACAGAGTGTAGGAATACTCTGTTACAGTAAAAGTCCTGCATTCAAAATGTTACTCAAGTAAAAGTAGAAAAGTATTCTCATCAAAATATAGTGAAAGTAGCGACAGTAAAAGTATTCATTGTGCAGATTGGTCCATTTCAGAATAATATATATGATATGTTTTATAATGATTGATCATGAAAGTGTTCTCAAAGCTGGTAAAGGTGCAGCTAGTTTGAATGACTTTGTATACTGCAGGGTAGCTTGTGGATTTACTCCAGGTGGAACTAAAGTCTGATTCAACACTTGATTATATTTCACATCATTCATCCACATCTGTAAAGTAACTAAAGGTATTAAATCGATGAAGTGGAGTAAAAGTACACCATTTACCTCTGAATGGTTGTGAAGTAGAGGTACAAAGTAGCACAAAATGTAAGTAGCCTAAGTAAGTATTTCAAAATGGTACTTAAGGACAGCACTTGAGTAAATGTTTAGTTACCTACCACCTCTGGATTATCAGATAAAGAAAATAAAATATCCAAAAGATTTTATCTTTGAGCCACAACATGTGTTTCCAACATGGTGCAGCGGCAGAGGCTACAAGGTGCCTTCTGCTTCGGAAAACTAACACACACACCGTTGGCCATCAGGAGCAATTTTGGGTAAAGTATCTTGCCCAAAGATACATCGACTTGTTGGCTGCAGGGGCCTTCTGATTGGTAGATGGTCGCATTACCAGAGATGGCAAAGTGCACACATCCTTTACTCAAGTAGAAGTACAGATACTCGTGTTTAAAAATACTCTGGTAAAAGTAGAAGTACTGACTAAACTTCTTTACTCAAGTGAAAGTAAAAAGGCTTTGAAATGTCCTTAAGTAAAAAGTACCCATAACTAGCAGCTGTTTTAAAGAGTACCCGACCTCCCTTTATATTAATAGAACAATAATGTCATTGTTAGCTAATGAATGTTTCCATGCTGAACAACGGCAACATGACAACATTTTCATTGGTCCCTCTTCTTAAAGGCCCTGTCACACTGTCCCGAAATTGACACCCGATGGACACACGATAAAGGAAATGTTCAAATTCGGCTGTGATCGTAGCAACATCGGGCCATTCGTGAGGGCATCTAAGCCATCGTATGACCGCCGGTGGAGTTTCTCAGGCTCCGGCAGCAACTTCGTGAGCGGCAACTTCGTAAGGCACTCGTGAGGGCATCTTGTCAAATCGTGTCATCTTCATGTTATCATCGGTGCATTCACCCTCACTCTGATCGGGGCGAATGCCCGATGGCACCGATGATAACAAGATGCCCTCACGATGGCCTTACGAAGGGCACAATTGATACACGAATTCAACACGAAAATGAACCTTCGCAAGGTCCTTCGGCAATTTTTTGGCATGCCAAAGATTTTGCCACCGCTCACGAAGTTGCTGCCGGAGCCTGAGAAACTCCACCGGCGGTCATACGATGGCTTAAGATGCCCTCACGAATGGCCCGATGTTGCTACGATCACAGCCGAATTTGAACATTTCCTTTATCGTGTGTCCATCGGGTTGTTTTATTGCACAACAAAATCATGTAAACATATTATGTAAATAACCCAATTTGTGTTCTGTGAAACTAAAAAGGATATAATATATTATTTTGAAGGACAGTTGACAGGAAGTTGTTGTTGTTATGGAAACAACATTACGGAGAAAACGTAATATTTTCTACATATAACGACGGATAAAGTAAAGAACAAAATCTGAAGATATCAGTACAGTATCATAGTACTGTAACATAATTGTTTTTGGTACTTTCATTGCAGTTGTATGTCTTAAATGTAATGTAAATGTTGCCTTCGTGTGTGGTTCGGGGCCATCTTCGTACGAAATTCACAATTCCATATTCGTGTGTCCATCGGGTGTCAATTTCGGGACAGTGTGACAGGGCCTTTAGAGAAGACCAGGAAACACTCTAAAAACGAATTCAGGCGACCTTTCACCTCCACTTAATTAAATGCATGGTTGCAAGATAAAAATACGAGTTACTTGATTTAGATAAACATTTTAAGTTGCAAACATTAATTTATAGGTTGTGTTGACGTAATAATGTTGGTAATTACATCAACTTAAAATTCAAGTTGTAGTGAGTAATGCAATTGGCTTGATAATTTAATTGTTCTACACCTTGAGTTAAGGATTTCAAGTCCACTCCCACTTAACATGCCTGGACAAGTTCCCACAGTTAAGACAAATAGAAATATACAAAGGACATTTTAAGGTGAGTGTCATCTTTTGTCATTCAAATACAGTAGATAGCCTTGTAGTTGCACTGTATAGGCAAATTGCTGTTTGACCAAAATTAGCAGCCTTTGAACTGTGAATAGTTCTGTGAGAGGATACAATACTTTGGTTACTATTGTGATATCGCTTTTTATTCAAAATGAATCTCGGTGAAGCAGATCAAGGACATGCTTTTTGAGGTATGGATCGTTATTTAGAGTTGTCATTGAAAGCGCATTCACCCATTCAGAATATATTCATTTAGGTCATTTCTCTTTTTTTCCTTTTTCAAAATAGCACAATACAATTGAAGTACGCAGAGAAATATAGCCATCCGCTGCCTTGTCGTGTACCTTGGAGAAAAGGAAGAGGACCGTTTCAAGGATTTTAGCGACGTAATTAAAAATCTTGAAATAACATAAAATCCACGGGCACAGGACAAAAGCACTGCTCTCTGTCAGTTACATTTTGAAGCATATTGCACTTTTGGCCACACCCCAATCAATAATATCTTAGCAATGTTCAGCATGGATAGGTGTTGACAGCCATCGTGGTCGAGGGAAACAAATGAATGAGCATTCTGCGTTAAATGTGTTCATACTGTTTCAAATAATGACTGTCGGCAGTGTTAACATCTTTGTTACATCTTTTGTCAAATGGATGTGTGTGATCTGCAGGTTGGTGGCCATTGAGAGTTTGTTTCTGTAGTTTTACAAAGACTTTACAGATTTGACATATTTGGCACTGGTTTTAAATATGCAAAGGCCTCTAACTTCGATGTGATGGCAGCATGTATTTGCTGTGTCCCCATGTCCCATGGTAATATGGCTAATGTGTTTATTTATTATTTGTGGGGCAATTTAAGTTTGTGTTATTTATCTTTTTTTTCAAGATTTAAATGAAGCTCAGCGCAAGTTCTTTCAGGAAGACTGAGTGTATATACATTCACTCCGCAGCTGCATATAATCAGCTCATCACAGGCGTTCTCTTTATCCTATTACATTTCACCTCATTCTCCAGCAGCCAATCAACGTGCTGCAGCCAAACTATAAAATGGTTCTCCTCTCTCCTGCAGTCAGCTGTGATTTCAGGTGTTCATGCACCTTATCATATGGCATGTGTCAATAAATGTTCAAACTAAATGAATTCTCTCCTGATTGAGACATCATGTGTTTAAATAAACAACTGCAGTTCAAAATAAAAAGTGAATTGCCTAACATTTTTGTTGTGGAATCAATTAATTTCTTTCTTTAAAGGCAAAAACATGAAAAAGCTAAGAAAAAAAACTATTGAATACAATATATTTGGAGCAACTTAATTTATAAATGGTTGTCAACTTAAAAACGTGTGTTCACAATGATGGTAATTAAGTACATACAACTTAAAATCCTTTTAAGTCATGCAGTAAAACAGGTTGGAACAACTTAATTTTTGGAGTAATCA